GTCTACTTTGTATCCCCTAATTGTTCAAAATCAGAATCCAGATTCCAAGTTCAAGGTACATGGCACTTGGTAACTTGGGTGTAGCCTAGTACTTTCATGATAAAGATGGTCTGATGAAGTTTGAAGAACATGTACTATTTGCTCCACCCTATAAGATTCTTTCTATTTTGAATCTATCATCTCATTACCTCTAAAATTTTTTCTAGTAATTCCCTTCTTCATTACATACACAAGTCAGTCATGCCATCATCATTGTAAAACTTTTATACATCAATGTGATTTCAAGCAGTTTGCAGGCATTTGAGCTGACATACAATATTCCATGAGGACCTTAGCTTATTTGATTGGAGAATAAAAATACAAGATGAATACTTTCAATAATTCCCCTTTATATTTATAAAAAAATCCTTCCGGATAGCTTCCCATATGGATTCATTGGCAATCATTATGATATGTTTGTGATTGAATTGTTAGATTATTTCATGTGTTCGGGGTTGGCAATGGGATGATTGGTTGAATATATGTAGTTGAACTGTTGAACAAACTTAACCCAACCAACAAAATTATGTGGTATATCTACAAAATGAAAACTTGCCTGATTGAGGAATTATGTGAACCAAAAGCTCATGCGCAAGATTACGTAAATTGAAGTTGAAACTCAGTTTCTGAAAACAGCACTTTTTCAAAATGCCTTTTGTGTGATTTTTTATTTAATCTATCTGTTTTTCTGCATCACCTTTCTGTTGGGTTTTACAGTTTGAGAACTCTTTTTTTGTGCTTTTTAGCCTGCCTGAATGTTGATAAGTTGCACATGATTAGATATCAGGAGTCTGCCCCACTTTCTTGGTCTTTGGTGCATAAGAAATCTGAAGAGATTGATTTTATATACAATTTTGAAGCAGTGATCAAGAACAGTACAATTATCATATATGTTATGGAAAGGAGAAGGTTAAGTAGCAAAGTTCAATCTAACATGTGTTCATTAACTCGGGGTTGACAGTACTTACACAAACAAGGCAAGTTGAGTATCGGAAAAGTCATTCCATGTGAAATTCCTGATGGACATCATAAATCTGGGATTGGAAAATACAAAACTCTACCATAAGACCTCAAATATTTCCCAACATCCAAATCAACGATCTATGAGCCGGCACATTTTCGATTTAACATTGTGTTGTTTGCAAAAAGTTGCTATCGCGACTAATTGATCGGCCCATTCTTGATTTTGAACATCAGATGACCTTGCAGCAGGTCCAAAGCGTATAGACAATTCCTTGAGATAAGGCCAAGTAGCTTTCCTTAGAATTCCATCCAGGGACCTGATATGATCTAATGTGTTAAAGTGCCATTTGAGATGAAGTAAAGTTTTACATTCTTGGAAGCTGAGCAGAGAACGAGGCTCATGAGTCGAAAGGTCCAGGTAGGTTAGAGATGGAAACACTGGATGGCTTTGAGGATCCCAGTTAGGGTCGATGTCAAAGCCGTCATCATCTTGATCGTTGGTGAAATCAAGCTCGAGTGTAGTCAGGTAAGGTGAAATGTGGCGAATGACCCTAAGTGCCGAACTGAATGATAATGAACGACATCTGATAAGTCTAAGATGTGTGATTGTCCTTGGCCAATCATAGAGACACCATGTTTCATCTATATCTTCATTGGCCCATAATTCCAGTCGTGATAGATATTTAAGTTTGGATAGATTGTATCCCAAGGAAGCATCACCAACTGTTTGCTGATTTCCAGATGATGTGCGTGCACGGATTATAAGCGACTTGAGCAATGGTAGACTACCAACAACTTTCGCCGGAAAGTCTGTCATAATTGTTTTGCCATATTCATCGTGCAGCTTCAAATGCTGAAGTTGTTTAAGACTTGATAAGAGTGGAACTAGATCTGATAAGAAAGCATCGGTTCTACCCACGTCTTCATCGTCTTCTTCATGTTTATTACAAAGATTCAGCGTAGAAATGTTTGGGCACCGAATGATCAAGTCTCGGATGTTTTTTGGTGAGATCGGCTGAGGGGTAACTTTGCACATAGGGATCAGATTGTCGTAGAACGGATCATAATCTGCAAATTCGTCCAAAGGTTTCTTGCAGTTTTCGGAGAGAGTAAGTGTTAAAGATCGGACATGGGAACCTCGTTTGAGGAGAATATCTTCTGTCCATAGATCTATTGGCGCTGGATGGCTAGAAGGGAACTGCAGTTTCTGACGAGCATGACAAGTGTTTGAACATGATTAGAAATCTTTGCCCCCTTAAACAGTCGATCTGAAGATGACTCACTCGCCATAGCCATGGTTCACAACGTCTGTATATCTCGCGCGAAGTCAGCGAAAAGGTTTGAGTAAGATTCAAGATTGGTGAATTTCGGTGCAAGTAGGTCTTATAGGGCTCCCGGACACTTGGAATGGCAGTGATCATCACGAGGGCTGATTGCTTTTTGAATGTTATTTGCTGTTTTTCGGACTCAGCCAGGCAATCAAGCTTTTCGAGTATGTTGTTAAAGACTTCAATCGGTAGGTCCATGAGACCTACAGCATGCGATGTGTTTCGTAATCCCTTGTCTCCAGTATCTTCTTCAACTCCGTCAAATGGAATTTTAACCGTTGGGCGAACGTGAGATTCGGTTGTTTGGTTAACAGATGCGGAAGAATCAATAGGGCTTTCTGATAGACCGAGTTGAAGAAAGATCCCAAGGATTGATTGTTTGGACCAAATGAAACCTTCCGAGTCAAGTTCATCGAAACGCTTGCGAATAAAATCGAGATGCTGGTTCACTGGCTTCGTCTCCTGGTGACATTTAGAGACGATCTCGCGCCAGAGCGCAAGCTGAGCTGTGCAACAAGAGGATGTCATCTTGGTACACGAGCAAATGCTGGCCGTATCTTCAAGGCAATCAAAGTAGAGGAGAGAGCTGAGAGCTGAGAAGCTATATGTAATGAGCTATAGATCGTCTCTCGAAGATCGATCCTACCAAAGCTTTGGTATCGAGAACGTGACGATTCAATCAAGACGAGCGTATCACCTGAGTTTACGTGTTGAGAAGGCGCAATCGAGACTCTGTTGGTGCATTCAAAACAACAGACAATGGGCCAAGGGACCAGAAATGATGAGGATGTCGTAAAGTTTGAAAGCGAGGAGGCACAGATAGCACAGATCCAAATTGAAATTTACGCTGACATGAACGAGATCAAAAAGAGAAAGAAGTTCAGAAAAACTTTACCTAATCTTATTTTGATTTTCTCTATTGAGTTCACGTCTAATAGATCTGAGAGGTTCATCAGATCAGATTTCCCAGCACCCATCAGGTTCAATCAAACTCCAAAGCCAGCTTGGATATTCTTCATCCGCTTTAGCGGAAATCTGGAAACAAACTGGAAGATAGCTTGGAGAAACCACCAAACTTACTCTGCTCACATCAATGTGAGCTCATATTCCCCCCCCTGTGGATATGATCCATTTTGCTTCACAAATGAAACACCATCAAAGCAGCTACTCCACAATCATTGTTTCACAAAAAAATCCTCCAAGGCAACTTTTCTTTCTCAATTCAATGTGTTTATTTCTGATGACTTGTTGAGTGATTGTACAACTAACCTTCCTCATAAATCTTTGCTTTTATCTCATTTCAAGCCTTCAACATACCTGTGAAGTGTCAAATGTTTACAACTTTTCCCTTAGTTCTGCGCAACAAGGTTTGGCAAGGCATTGAGTATAAACCCAAGCTCTCAAGACTACAAAGATCTAATCTGTTTGAAGATCTATTTAATTACCTTGTCAAGCGGGCACTTCTTTGAAAAGGTTGCTTGAACAGTTCATATTGATTGTGGAAGGCCAAGGTTCTTTTGTGGAGATTGTAGACTGTTTTTGAGAATCTCATTGTGATCATTATTGCTTTGGCCGAGAAAGAAGCTAAAGAGCATTAGAAAAAACATAACATTGTATTCTTAATTCAAATCCCCATGGGTTCTGATCTTTCAAAGATCTAAGAAGTCTAGTCGAACTTAAAGCACATTTACAATCATTCTCCAACCTTTTCACTTCAACACATAATTGCAATTAAAACTTATTATGCCTCAAACATCAAATACCAATATCCTTGACCACTTCCTAAAGTCATTTCTACCACTTCATGCTGATCAGCCATCAGCCATCAGCCCCATCTAACATAAAAACAAATTCAACATAGACCAAAAAACCAAAAGATATCAAATCGAATCACATCACTTCATCATACTTGAGGCGAGTTTTGTTCAATCAGGAATCCCATTCGCCCAAAGTAAGTTTATTTTCGGAAAAAAATCTTTTACAAGATCACAGAAGTGACGTAAAGAACACTTTAATCAAATGCGGTATCCTTGAGTAAAGTAAACAAAACTGACCTAGCTCGAATTGTACGACCACCAAAAAACCTTCCATCAAATGTCTTCACAGCTTTCCAAGCTCCCACCAAACCCGAAAAGATAATAAAGACTCTAACGGCTTCAGATGGATCATCCAAAGGTTTTTGAACAATTCTAACAAAACAACGTTCAACAATCCCATGTTTTCCAGCTTCCTCGGCTATAGATTTTCGAAAAACATACAGAGTAAGTAAAAGAGTTAGTCTTCAATATCCAAAAAAGAAAAAAAAAACAGAGTTCTGGAAGATCACATCAAGAAGGATAAGGTAGGGAAGGACACAAGGTCTGGTCGAGTAAGAGGTTCACAAGGCTTAAGAAATTCTAACAGACCGATTTCATGTGAAAGTTCATCATCCACTTCATCTACCGCCACCACATTAGTAAGATAAACCACTCGAGTCGGTTCACCATATCGTTCCTTTTCTTCTCGATCCCTTTGAGCCTTCGCCTCATCAATCACCACACCTCTACCCTTTCCAATCGTAGGAACAGGTCCAGGCCCGATCTCAGATGTGTGCTTATTCTTCTTACCAGAGTGCGCAGGAGCGGCTGCAACGGTCAGGATACTTGTCCGACCTGACTCGGACGCACCAAGACCTTGTCCTTCTTTCCAACCATACTTGTCCATCAACCGGCGCGCAAAGTCTGGCTGGCCAGGTCTAGATAAACAAAGAGTATCTTAATTTGAGCCACGTGGAGGGTCAAGAGAGAATTATTGATGCAAAGCGCAACATGGAGAAAATGATACAATGATAATTTGTTACTGACGCTTTGTTACCAGACTCATTAGGAGCTTGTGAGCCTTCTGCGTTCGACCCAGACGGCTGAGGAGCAGCAGCCGCCATTTCAGTTGTAGCAATCGGACCACCACCACCACTCAAGGCCGCTAATTTTGCCGCAATCAAACGAGCCTTGGCTTGCGCCTCTTCCAATGTCGCTGTCGGTCTCAAGGGGGGTGGTACAACCGGTCCTGCGGTCGGTGCGGCAGCAGGATCCTGTTCACCCTCTTCCCGAAGGTGCTGAAGACGTTCGGCAATACTTTTAGCTCGTGCCTGCGCTTCTGCAATAGAAACGGACGGAAATCCGGTGGGTACAGAGTCTGAAGGAGGTGCAGTGCCAGATACGGAGACATCTGCAGTATTAGATGATGGTAAAGGCTGGCTATAAGGTACGCCCTGCGATAGAGCAACTCGACGAGCATATGCGTCATCCCCTGTCTGGCGACGAGGTTCAACCATACTTGAGCCAGCAGTCGATGCTACGTCAGGATCATCGGGTCGAGGGGCATTGTAGTCGGATGGCGGAGCAAAGAATTTTCCTACAAGCCCAAAATGATATCAGATAAAAATACACTATAGTTGTAAGTTTTTGTAAAATGTGTTACTGACCCTTAGCTGGGGCCGGAGCATCATCGCTAACGCTTGCGTCATCATCAGAACTATAAACTGAGCTTTCAGTCAGCTCTTCACGCTCTTTACGACGTTGATGTTCACGTTCGAGGCGAAGGGCCTCTCTCCTTTGCTCTCTTCGACGTTTAGTAAAGTTCATCCACTCAGTCTGAGCGATGGTGACAGAGTATGAGAATGAAATGGAAGAATGTCGAGGATAAGCCCATGGTCTTGATCATCAAGCTATTTGAGTAAATTGGATCGTATAGATGCATACGTAGTCATTGGGTCGAGCAGGATCATAATCTTCTAGGAAAAGAATGGCAGGATCGACTTCACGAGCTTTGCCTTTTTTCTTATTCTACGAATCGAAAAGGACAAAGATTTTTAGATGTCATGCGAATTGAATAAACTGATGGAGTTTAGTGGAATGATACCTTTTTTGACATGCGAGCCGCTCTGAGTGCCATCTTACGACCAATTTCAGATTGACCAAACCCATTGACGTCTCCCCCACCACCACCACCACCTAGTTCTTCATCCGGTAACGTTAAGGGGGGTGGTTGGTCCAACTTTCTCTTAAGGAATTTAGGTGCTGATCCAGGAAGAGTAGGAACTAAGCCTTTTAATGTAGTGGTCTGAGCCAAGATTGCCGGAAGACTATGTTGAAGTCCAGGAATACCAGAATCAACCTTATCTTTGAGTGAAGGAGCTGTTGAGGCGGGATTGGTTGGATTGAAAGAAGGTCCACCCGGAATCCTTTCTGGAGCATGAGCCGCTAAGAATCCACCTTTACGAGCAAAGACACTAGGAGCTTTAGAAGGACCGGCATTCACTGGCGCAGCTGTTAAGGCTACCTTTGCTCTTCCTGGAATATGCATTGTACGAGGGTTGGGATTAGATGTAGCTGGTTCTTCATCTTCGTCAGGTGCAAAAGCAGAAGCGGTGCTCGTTGATTTCGAACCCGTGAGGTTGGCAAAAGGAACAGCAAAAGGTTTAGAGGTCGAAGATTTGACGGCCGGCTTGCGGATCACAGGTGCGAAACGAAGTGAGGAGGACCACGAGGAGGCTAAAGTTTGGATTGCCACAATATCGAGCAAGGGAAGAGGAGGGCCTTGATGAGTTTCCCAGCAAGATCAAAGATTATGCTGAATTGATTTTAAGAGTTTGATTCACCTTTTGACTTTTCAGGTTCGGCAGAAGTTCCCTCTCTGGTGGCTTCCACTACTTCTTGATTGATATCGGATTTTGTTTTGTCTGCATTTGATGCTTCAGGTCGAGGATCGAGTGAAGTGGGTGTAGGTTCTTCAGGGTTCTTTTTACCACCTAGAGCGATTCCAGCATAAAGACCGCCACCACCGCCAGAGTTGGATCCTGTTCCTCCAGCGGATGATCCGAATTTGAAACTCATCGAAGGATCTTGATTCGGTAATTCAGTAAGGTTGAGTGTTCGAGAAGAGATAAGTTTAAAAGACGATGATAAAACTTTGATAACTTTCAAAGATAATGATCGCCATCAACTTCAACAAACTCAATTCTCACCCCGGACCGAGAGTACCGAGCTTCCAGGCACGGTGTCTTACCCGAGCCGCGAGTAAACCGATTGGAATTTGAACTGGACTTCAAAGAGCTGATCAACAACTCAACCCAGGATTGGTCAAGGGAGAGGTATAGAGGAGGAAGAGGAAGTAAGTAAACTCAAACTACATCACTAAACTATACAAGACTTGATATCTTGTTAAGATCAAGAAACTGATGAATGATTTTTATCATTAAACTTCAATTTCGATTATCTTATCAGACTTCAACTTAAAAACCAACAATCAAGTGGATTCAAGAAGATGGACTCATTAATGAATTCAAATGTCTCAAACAATCGTGAAGCAGGATTCATTGTTCCTTTGATACCTTATTATAAAAGCTTAACATGAAAAAAACTGACTTTGTCAATGACGATTTTTTTCAGCCCAAACGTTTACAAACCGAACCAATCCGATGGATCTCTCCCACATCTCCACCCATTTCAATTCTCCAACTTCATGTCATCCATTTTCCAGTGGGTTTTCATTTGATGAAAGAGTTAGATTTCAAGACCCAGGATTCCAACCTTGTGATTCGATCCATTCGATTCATCCACCCCAAGCTTTACCTCAATCTGATTCACTTCAAAGACATCAAAAACGTCATTCTGGATTCACGGCTACTACGAGTGGAAGTGAAGAATCGGGAGATCATTTCTTTGAATCACAGAGTCAAGATGATAATGTACCAAATGATCATCAGAATCAGAATACGAATACGAAACTGACTAGTGAGAAAAGAAAGGCTCAGAATCGAGCGTGAGATTTTTTTTGACTAGATTGCATGACTTTTTTCTTCAAATTCCTTCAAAACTTATTTCTTCTTTTCTTCTGGAGTTTTTCTTTTTTAGAGCTCAACGTAATTTTCGTGAACGTAAAGATAGACAATCAAAAGAGAATGAAGAAACCTTGGTGATCCGAACAGAAGAGAACAAACAAATGTGTGTACTGATCGAGAGGTAAGAAAGTTAAAAGCTCCTTAAGTTATCATACAAAAAAACACTGATGCAAGTTTTCAATAATCTTCGGGATCCCCATTAGTCTACAGGCCGAAAATGATTTCTTACGACAAAACATTCCAGCTTTAATCTTAGCACAATTATCGATTAGCTTACCAACCGTAGCACGACCGGTTCTAACTCTTCTAGGCTTACCACCACGTCCTACTACTACAGGTATTCGAAGAGACGGATCACAAGCACAACGACTTAAGAACGTTTCACTTAGATGATGAGAATGCTCGGATGATAATGAAGAGCTTTTTTTTTGGTAAAGTACTGGATCAACTTCAAGTAAGAACTTGACCGAGATACGAGGTATCTTCTGTACAACATTTTCGAACGTTTTGCTACACAGCTTCTGACTGGACGAATTTCTAGTTTATAAACTGAATGATCAAGATTGTAACTGTATGGACTCGTTCAGTTTTTTGTATTGTATTCTTTTCGTATGAACTAAAGAGAAAATCATCCATGTAACACTCGAAATAAAACTGATGTAAAGTGTATGTATGTATGAGTATCTTTATATTTGAGATTGTATATATAAGCCTGGCCCTTAGGCTTGTTAGAATTAATCCCTAGCATCTCACCCTCCCCTCACAAAGCTTAATGGTCTTTTCTTTAGGATCAAGAAAAAAAATCGTAGAGGTTTGTATATATATGTTGAAAACAGATCGCCCGATAGGGAATCAGTTTAACTCAAGATCTGTTGTAGATAAAGTTGCTTAAAGTCATGTATGTGTGTATCTATCATCAAAAATACTTGAAAAAGTATAGGAAATATAACTCTATTTAACTAAATAAGCTTTTGTTGTGAGCACATCTCCTATATGATCAGTTGACTTTGTGTCCGTTCTAATGGCCGTGCTCAAGATCACTTTTTTGGACTCTCACTCAGGCCACTGAAATATATCATTGATTTCAGAAACAATCAAAGGTTTTGTAAGGTATATGATACTTTTTTTAAATTAAAACAAGAAAACGTCAAAAAGGAAATGAAAATGCGGCGGTTCTTAAGTTGGTATTTGGATTGATCAATTCATCATGTTTGGTATAATGTTCTTGATCCGACAAGTGATGTAGTACATGCTCCAAATGAATCTATTTTCTAGGACGTCAAAAAAGAAACCCAAGAGTCAGAACCCCTTTACATTAATCTAATTAATTAGAGTAAGACTCAAAGGCCTACAAGAATGATGATTTCTCAACACATAGCCACCCCATGATTTGGTTGATGAGAAACAGACTGAACAGTCGAAAGATCCTCATCTTGTCCTTTAATCCCAGCAGGCACTCCATTAAACCTTTGATGCATAGCCCGATACCTTTTCTGTTGACCAATCGAAACACTTGCTCTAACTTTCTTCAATGCTTCATTAAAGTCTTGTAATCCAAGAATGATAGGTTGATCATCATCATTATTAGACACACTAGAATTTGAATTAATCCGTTGTCTTAATCCGATCAAAGAAGCTTCCCTAATTAATGCTCCTACATCTGCTCCACTATATCCATTACACTTTTCTTTGACCAAGACTTTGATTTGGTCGATTTCTTGGATTCTTAAATGATGGGATAAAGTACTAAAGATTTCCCATCTTTCGATCGGGTCTGGTAAATCTACAAAAATCATCTTGTCTAATCTTCCTGGTCTTACCATCGCTGGATCCATGACGTCTGGTCGGTTAGTTGCTCCGATCACAAAGATTTGTTTTCGGGATTCTAGACCATCGAGCTCTGTTAAGAGTGTGTTGACTACTCTGGATGAACTTTCTGACTATAGAACATCCACAAGACAAGAACGATTGGTCAGATAGTGAGTTTGTCAAAAATAATCAAAAAAAGTATGTATAGACGAACCAGACTGTCATCGCGACGAGGAACCAAAGCATCCAGCTCATCAAAGAATATGATGCATGGAGCAGACGCCCTTGCTCGAACAAAAACTTGACGGACTGCTTTTTCACTTTCACCCACATACTAAAGAAGCCACCCAAGATGATCAGAGAACATATACTGAAGAGCCTAGATGTTTCTAAATAGAAATGAACAATACCTTATTCAAGAGTTCAGGACCTTTGACAGAAATAAAGTTCGCTTGACTTTCATTAGCCACAGCTTTAGCCAATAAAGTTTTACCACAACCCGGAGGACCCCAGAGTAAGATCCCAAAAGAAGAAGCGATTCCTAATTTCTCAAACATCTCAGGAAACCTAATCGGTTGTATAATCGAAATATTCAATTCGTCTCGTACTGATTTCATAGCACCGATTTGAGACCAAGTAGTATCAGGTATAGTAGAGAATCCTTCACGTTTACAAGAAGGTTGGAAGTCTTTTAAGGCTTGATGGAAATCGGTTTGACTGATTCGGATTCGTTCTAATTGATCGGGTGTAAGTTTTTGTGGGTTTTTCCTTAGGAAATTGATGATAGGTAATGATAAGAGGTTTTCAGGTAAGTTTCCAAATGGATCTGATGAGCTAGATGGCGCTGGATTTTGTGGTGTTGGTTCGATCTGAATACCTTCGGTCTCAGGAATCACATCTCCATCTAGAGCTTCTTGTTCATCTATCATCACTGTGTCTTCTGTATCCATTGAAGTTTCAAAGATTCGTTTAATAGCTATCACCCCAGCAGAAGCCGTTAAAGCAGTCAGATCAGCTCCAACATATCCAGGCGTAGCACGTGCAAGTTTCTTAAAATCAAATGCTTCCACTAATTTTAACTTTTCACATAAGACTCGAAGGATTCTGTAAAGCAGTGTGACGATCAGATTAAGTGATCTCAGTCAGAAAGATCTTTGAGATGCTTTTTTTTTTTGGCGGCTCGCTTACAGTTTAGAGAAGAAGAAGAAGAATCATGATAACACTAACTGTTCACGAGCACGTTCGTCTGGTACACCCATCAAGATCTCATGATCAAATCGACCACCACGACGTAAAGCTGGATCCAGGCTATCCGGACGATTAGTTGCACCAATCACAATCACAGGTTTTCCATCTGTTTTTTCTAATGAAAGATCTACGAAAGAAACCAAAAAATGGTATCACGATGTTTAGAAATTGATTAAAAGGTTCATGATGATATAAATGACTGACCATCTAAACAAGTCAAAAGTTGAGCTACTATCCTACGTTCCATTTCTCTTTGAGCAGTTTCTCTTTTAGGAGTGATCGCATCAATCTCATCTATAAAAAGAAGACAAGGAGCTTGTTTCTACAAAACCCACCAATAAATCTCACATCAACAAAAATAACAAAAAAAAAGAGAGAGATGAAAATCATACTGACTGTAGCTTGATCAAAGATATCACGAATAGCTTTCTCACTCTCACCACTCATACCACTCACGATACTAGTACTCGAAACGTTTATAAGGGTGATACCCAGTTGATTAGAAATCGCACTTGCCAACATAGTTTTCCCACAGCCTGGAGGACCACATAACAAAAGCCCACGGATCGGTTTAAGACCAGCAAATTCAAATATTTCAGGATGTAAGATTGGAAGAGCGATTAATTCTAGAATCTTTTCGACCGTTGAATCGATGCCTCCTAAGTCTGATAAAGTTACATTTGAGGTGATGGGTTTGATGAGAGATGTGGTGTTGGTTGATGGTCTTGAGGTTGATGATTGTTTGGTTCTTTTGGTGGGTTGATGTGAGGTTGTTGCGGTTTGAGTTGGGTTGGTAGTGCTGGTTTGTTTTGATGGTTGGATTGGTGAATTTAGTTTTCGTTTAGGAGAGGTTGGAATGATTGATTGATCGTTGGTTTCTGGTATGGTTTGATCAGAATGAGGAATGATTGAGTTTAGAGAGATTCTGTTTCTTCTATAGTTTCCAATGATTTGTCGATTTAAAAGATTAGTAGATGTCATTCTTATCTGATTGAAGTTATCAAAATCAAAAAAAAAAGAAATGTGAATGACAAAGAAATCTTAATAATCTGATTAGAAAGATATCACTTCATATAAGCATACTACATATCAACTCAATTTACACCTCATAATAACTCATTCTCATCCATTCCCTTGATCACTCTCTGCAACCATCAATCATCAATCATCAACTAATCAACTTCAAACCAAAAGATGTTATTCTCAAACTAAAACAAATCAATCAATCAATACCCAAAACCCATCATCAACCAAACAAAAACAATGAAAAACTCACTACCATTACTTTACCTAATCCACTCAATCTATCATCAACCAATCCAATCACTCTCATCTCATTCACCACAAGACTTATTAGCTTATCCAAAATACTCTGTAAACTTACAAGATTGGAATTCAGCTATTGTTAATTCGACTGCTATTCATTTACTTTCGAATCTTACTACATCAAATCAACCAGATCCAACTCATGGATTAACTGTTTTAGATACTCCAGACCGATCTGATGAAGTTCCAAAAGTGGGTTCAATTTCTTAATCTTAACTCTAATTCACATACTCATTTTTGGTTTTTCATTCAATTTTAGACTCCAATAGCTTATCGTCAAACACTTATGCGTACAACAACCGGTCAAGCATTTCTCTGTGCAGTCCCACCAATAGCCGATTCCAAACCGATCATCAAACGTCCAAAACCTGTTTCTGAATTATCTAAAGCAGATGATCAACTCAAACGTCAAGCTAAAGCGAAAGCAGAACAAGAAGGTTTAAAGAATGGATTAGTTCTTTTAGAGGCTTTGAAGGATCATTGTATTTATACAAGACTAGGATGGTTTACTTATTCTTTTTGCTAGTTGAGTTTGATCATCCAACCCTTTTCTTCTTTTAACTTTGGTTTGCTTAAAACTTATCGAATCGGTTTGGTTGGGTTGGGGTTTAGTGGACAAGGTGAAATTCGACAATTTCATGCTGTTATGATCCCTGGTCATAATCATCCACATGAAGATCCAACCCAAGATGTGTTTGTGTTAGGACTACATGTAAATCATCCACAACATCCAAATCATCAAGCTAAAGTCGAAGGCACTCTACAAGCTCCTACATCTCTTTCATCTCAAGGCGAGTTAACCTCCTTAGGTCGGAATCGGTTCTCCAACACTCCTTTGGTCACTGGTTTGGCTGATACGGTGACGGATGATATTGCGGCTGCGGCGGCTGGTCAAGATCTTTCGGGAGAGGGGGATGGAGATGAGGATGAACTTGAGCAGAAACGGTACTTGGTCCAACGCTGGGAAGGAGGTACGATATGTGATATGACAGGCAAACCACGAGCAGTAGAAGTTCAATTTCATTGTTCAACAGTGGGTACTGATCATATTGCATTACTCAGAGAAACTGCCTTGTGCGAATATCTCTTGGTGATCCATACACCTAGGTTATGTTCAGAGCCTCTGTTTTTAGATGGTGGTGGTGATCGGAAAGCCAGTCTGGGTGGTTCAGATGATAGTGGAAAGATTGAATGTCGACCGATTCTGAGTGATGAAGATTTAGAGAAATGGAAAACGAGTGAGACGGAAAAGGCTAAGAAGAAAGCGGCTCATGATGCTGCCTTGGCTCAAGAACTTGAAGAAAAGAAACATCAAAAGGCGATTGATGAAGCTGCTCTTCATTCTGCTCAGGCGGCTTTACTTGAACCTCAACAGTCGACCCAACCGGCCGAAGAGTCTAGTTCATCAGAGTCAGACGAAAATAAGAGTCAACCGGATCCGACGTCTTCCGAACAAATCGTACTTGATGGCACTAATGGTCCTAAGACTCCAGCTGACTCCTCGGCTAAATCTTCATCCGATTCAAAGCCAACTGAAGCCAAGAGTGATACGGAAGATCCTGGAGCTGTGGTCATGGATCCTATCACAGTTTTCTTCGACACCGATACCGGTCAAATCTACATGGATGAGAACGGACCACAGGTACGGCCTAGGACTGCGACTGGTGGTGATACGACAGGCGAGCGAGTAGCTGGACAAGCCACTGGGAGTACCGGTCAACCAGGAAGAACTCCGAATCGAAACATTCTACCAGGAGGAAACCCTGCAGGAGGCGAAGGAGCAACACCACCTACACTTGAAGAATTAACCAAAGCATTACGTGAATCCTTAGGAGCAGTATTACGAGACTTAAGGGATGAAGGAGGAGCAGTAGCAGGAGCAGTAGGAGGAGCACAAGCTAGACCAGCTCGTCCGTTATCTGAATTGATTGCTGCTTTACAAGAGTCTAGTAAGATACCTACGACTAAAACACGTAAGAGTAGAAAGAAATCGGGAAGTGGAAGTGGAGGTGGGAAAGGAACGAAGAAGGTGAAGAAAACAAAGGGTGAGGAGTTGAAGGAGTGGAAAGAGAGTGGACATGGGAAGATGGTTTCTATGTATTCGAATAAGTTTGAGGTGAAAGAAGAAGATGAAAAAGATGAAAAAAGTAAATAAATGAAGTGGTTTAGATTTAGTTGTATTGTTTTTTTTGTGAGATGGATTTTTTGGGATGGGTTTGATTGGTTGTGGAATTAAAGAAGGGTTTTTTTGTAGAATAGTAGAAAATCAGTTGCATTGTTTTTTTTGAAAGTTTTGATCCATTTTCGAATTGAAAACATCTTGGATTTATGGAGAGTTTGATGCTTTAAAATTTTTCTTTCTTTTTGTTACATTTATTGAACACGTTAAAGTTGGTAGGAAGAGATGTAAGTTGGGTTTGTGGAGTTTATAGTTGAAGGTTGTGTATCAGTAGTTGAAATGCACATAGGTATATAATTGAAGGGTTGGTATTTGAATTCGAATGGAAATTCAAGTTTGAGTTCTTTTGATTACATTTATGAGTCACAGAGTCATAGAGCTATAGAATGATTTTTGTAAGTAAGAGAAACATTGGAAGTGAAGATGTGATTGTCTTGGATTTGTTTTGAGGTTGGTAATCTTTTTGAATGGCATAAGAAAATCTGAACAACGAATGATGAAAAACTACCAAAAAGAAAGATCACATCGTGTTTTCTCAAATAACACTTTTAAACATCCTTCGAGAGCTGTGGTAGGTGTCCGTAGACTCTGAAAGATAACCCTGACATTTTTCAACTAGTGGCATAACTCACTTTTTCTACAGCATGCAGGCCGATATATTAGTTCTGAGAGAAAATTTTTGTAGCCGCTGAAGGAACACTTTATGACAACACCTCATCTTATAGAATCACTCATTGACAGTCTCACACACTCGTTAGCAACATAAAAGTTTCTGCCTCACGCGAAGAAGGGTGGGGCGAGTGCTACTGAAATGTCGTGTCAGCACTAGGCCGCGGCGACGCAAAACTTTTTTGCAAAGAAATCAAGTGTAACTGTCAAGCAAATCTCAGATGCTGATTTCGTCATGGTTATGCAATTGATCACTATTACTAATTGCATAAAAGCACACAATGAGAAAGTTCCACCTCAAAGTTCGGAAAATACGTATGGTAGACTGATCGTCTTATAGTACAATGGGAAGAAAACAAGCTCAATAGTTTATTTCTTTCGAGGGTTCTTAGAGATAGATCCTTTAGGCTGAGATTTAGGTTTCTTAGCATCTTTTGGTGGCTCGGCTTCGGCTTCCTCATCCACTTCACTGGCTTTTCGCTTCTCTTTCTTCCCGTCATGTGCTGGTAAAGGTTTGATACCTCTGGCTTTGAGTTGAGAACGTTTGGCGGCAGCTATGATTTCTTTATCGTCTTCATCGTCAAAGGCGATCGAGGTCGATTGAGCAGGGGTAGGTTCATCTCCATCCTCCGCGTCCCCTTCTTCCAAGTCACCCGGCGTAGTTTTAGCTGACAGAGGCAATATGAAAGCGTATCAGAAGATAACCTCAGATCAAACAGAGGAAAATAAATCATGAACTTACCTGGTTTGATCTTTGGGAATACACGCAGTTTGGCGACAAAGAATCCATCGACATTGTGGACATGTGGATAGAATCTTCGAGTGAGTTTGAGACTAGGATGAAACGTCTTTCCTCGGAAATTTGTAAACCCTTCTCTTCCAAAAGTCAATCCACTCTCCACCAATTTCACATTCGGTCGTTTCCTCAGTGCGTAATCAACCACACTCTCATTTTCCTCAGTGGTGACAGAACAAGTTGAATAGACCAAGAAACCTCCCTTGACCGAATGAGGAGAGACCGAGTCAATTGCACAGAGAATGAGCTGTTTCTGAAGATGTGAGAGTAAAAGAAGGTCCTTTTCTGACTACCAATGATGAAGCGTACGGAAAAAATGAGCACACGAAGCGACATGTGAAAAGATCAGAATCTAAAAATACCTTGTTAACTTTCACACTCGCATCTTTACTTATCACTCCTGTACCACTGCACGGTGCATCTAATAGGACCCGATCGAATCCGCCCATAACCTTAGGAAACTCTCGCGCATCATGATTGCAGATCACCACATTATGACATCCTAGCCGGGTCACATTGGCCATCAAACTCTTACAACGGTTTTTTGAAGCATCGTTGGCGAAGAGGACTCCAGTGTTTTGCATCATTGCAGACATGAATGTAGTCTTTCCACCTGGTGCGGCACTCATGTCAAGACATCGCTCGTTGGGTTGAGGAGCGAGTGCGATGACGGGTAAGAAGGAAGATGCGGCTTGTAACATATACTGTCCAGCGAGATATTCGGGGGTAGCACCGATAGGTACCGATGATTCGAAAACTTGAAGTCCTACTTTGGACCATTTTCCAATGGGTTCTAGGTTGACACCTCGGTTGATCAGACACTGAGCCAAGTCTCGACGGTTTGTTCGCAAGCTGAAGGTAGAAATGTATGAGAAAAGAATGAGAGCACAGAATATATAAAGAAGAAGTGACCCACGTGTTGGTCCGAATTGTAACAGGCCTTGCAGTTTCGTTCGCTTCGAAAAAAGCTAACGCCTGAACATGTTGTCAAACTCAGCAAGGACAGAATGAAAGAAATAGGTGGAAGATTTTGACGCACCTCTTCTGGTCCAAACAACTCCCAGAGCGTTGAGGCAAGGAATTCGTTGTATCCAAAGTACTCGCAAATGTCTGAACATGTCTGGGTAACTAGATCTATCCTACTTTTACCACCAGCCTTGCTACCAAGTGCACGCCAGTTGGCTAGAACTCTTACACTTTCTTGGATACGTATGTAAAGCTTGCGTAAGTCGGGAATACCCTTGGCATGGTTCATAACATCATCATCGAGGATAGCTTCTTCATCCTCATCATCCTCGAAGGTCTCAGATTCGGGGTTGTCTCCTTCAGAGAAACTGCCCTGGTCGCTGGCAAGTTCATGAGATGATTCTGGAGCTTGAAGGTTATTTTCGTTTTCGTCGTCGTTCTCGCCTTCTGTCTCGTCATCTTCCTCTTCAGAACCACTACCCTCGACTTCATCAAGACCTTCAGCTACATCTTGACTCGAATGGGCTTCATCAATCCCCGCTTCTTTATCAGAATCTTCTGCGTCGGATTCAGACTCATCAGGCGCCTTTAAATCGGTTGGCGAGAAAAAAGCCCTGTTGACGATGATGATGAAGAGACAATGAGTATATATGTTCATCTTGTAACGGAAAATGAAACCTTATACCACGTACTCTCTAGCAGCCTCTAAGCCCTCATCGTGAGCAATTTCATCATCGCTTTCAGGTTCTGATGAAGAGTCTGCTTCAGATTCACTTTCCAATTTCTTTTTAAGTTTAGTTGATTTTTTTAATTCGATTTCTTTTGCTTCTTGTTTTTGTAATTCAAGATTTTTCTCACGAGCCTTTTGTTTACCAGTAACAGATTTTCCACCACTTCTTGGAATTTTCTTTTTTTTTGATTTCAGTTTAAGATCTTCTTCTTCTGTAACTTGTGTGGCTTGTGATTTACGTTTTTTTGAGGATGGTTTTTCCGGAGCTGATAAAGGAGCTGGAGCACCTTGCTTATTGCGAGACTTGAGACCGAATCCACCCATGATGTATGGTGAATGTGTCGAGGGTTGATGAGAATGGATTTGATGATGTGTTGAGGATAAGTCGGTGAGGAAGATTTCCAATGGCAGTGAGTTGAACCGAAGGCTCAGATGTGGTAAGCACTGTTACATGTGGCAGTTCCGCTGTATGTAAAATCTACATATCAAAATTACACGTTGTATCATGTATTTCGAATCCATCTCGATTCCTCGAATGACTGCAGATGCTTTGTTTTCTTCCTTGTTTTTATAATTCCGAGCAAGCTGCCGTACACTACATCGCAATGCGCTACTGGACAAGAGTAACTAATTCGGCTTCACATTGATCAAAGATCAAATATGTGCGATCGAAAATTTAGAGATACATACATAGTCTCTCTTGTATCCTATCGCATGCGAAACGTTCTGGAGAGTCAAGCACATAGAAATGTATCTCGTTTTGGGAGAAGATATGCATCAAATCTGCAAACAGTCAACGTGATCGACGTTCAGTTATGAGCTCCTACATGATGGTGATCGAGAAACGAATGTGACCTGTATCAATTTCTTATCAGGATCCCGTCAATGGGCATTTCATTGCGATAAAACATTCGAAAGACAGAAATCCTCAAAGCGTTAGATTAGATGACAACTGAAATATCATGAACCCCAAGTTATTGACAATACGAACTTCATCCTCACTGAACAACAAAAATTATGGATTCGCGACCTTCAATTGTGGCCTATGACACGTCATATCATTATGGCTTAGGATCAATGCAGATCAGATTCTACGTTGGTTTGCGAGATATGCAGCATTTTTTAGGAAAAAAAGTCATGAATATTCACATCGAGGCTCAAACATTCTAGTAATTGCGGAAAAGATTTGCCTTGAGGCTACTTTGTGTGAAAACCCGTTGAAAATGATATCAATCTGATGAGAGGTATCTTAGAGATATCAGAGATGTTCGAGTTAAATAACAAAAGATAAAGTCACAGACTCAAATAACATCTTGAGGTGCATCATCACAATGCGCTAGCTCGAGATATGTTGATTGCAAGACTTAAGTGTTGTGAGCATGAGATCGTAGAAATATCAATACTATAATATATGATACACTCCTTTGATATATTGAAGATGTAACTCAGCGGTCTCGCGCGCATTCCAGCAATCACATCAATTTGGGGAAATCTTCCCTGAGACACAAGGAATTTGAATGATCGTAAGGCGGACAAAGACCCCTAATCAGGATTTATATGCTTCACAACCATTGAGGGTGTGGAATTTGACATTCACATTCCCGTCAGTTTATGGGACTACTCCCTTATGAAAAAAATTGAGCAGGCTACTGTGACACAAATTGAGTCGATCAAATTTAGTGCTCGAATATCTCGCGAAAATGGGACAGTCGTATTGAGATATGCTGGTTTTGAGAGTAAATGATCGTATAGAGACCGCACGCCAGCGCAATTCGAATGTGATTTTCCATCCGCTTTACAAATACCATAGGTTGTGGAGCGGGCATACATATCGCACATATGTCATTGGACAACTTCTGTTGTAATCACAACATATTGTAACGGACTAACTTGACGTGGAGTGAAGAAAAAGCCCGTGCCACTCGTATATATCCCAAGAACATGGCTTCCTCGGGAAAGAAGTGATCATAGAGTTAAAATAAAAGTGACAAGTGAATCACTAACATCGGGAAACGAACTTCATCACGATTATCGAACAGATGAGATGAAGCATAAAGTCTTCAGACCCCACTAACTATATATACAGAAAAAACGTGTCTTCTTGAAAACGTGTCATATAAATTACTGACCACTGATATATCGACTCAAAGAGGTTGAAAGCGAAGCAGTGTCCGTGAATAATCTTGGGAAAGCAGGTGAGGGTGATCCAACAAAGAAGTCTGTAATCAATCAAAATATCGTCTCAAGAACATCTGAGTATTTCTCTGCTGAAGATATTACTCTATTGATAAGATATAACCATCAGCTAAAGCATAAAGTTCAGATGCCTCTGTTTACTTTTTGTCGCGTATTTGATCAAGCGGACTATGAGAAATCAGAGAGCGTGGTCCAACAAAAAAGTCTTTGAACAATCAAAATAACGTCTTAAAAACATCTGAGCATTTCTCTACTGAAGATAAATTCTATTGACAAGATATAGCCATCAGCTAAAGCATAAAGTCGAGAGGCATCTGTTTACTTTTTGTCGCGTACTTTATCAAGTAGACTATGAGAAATAAGTACAAAGTAAAAGATACGAAACTGCCCGCGTCTGAATAATGTTGAGCATAAAAGATTTTTATACACTTCTCTTTTAAAGAATTTATATACGCCTATACGCATTTTCAGTATACGATCGAAATGTGCACTTGATCAGCTTCTTTGTACTGAGCAAGTGCTGATCTGGGCCTCTCTGTATAAAATTTGATTCAACGTTGAAGCCAAGGGTCATCTCTTTCCAACTTCAACCACGTCTTCCATCACACTCGACCAACCCATTTCCACATATCCCCTTTCCATATCCCTTTCCATTTGAACCTTCTGTCTATATCACTATGAGTAGCAACAACCGGTTCAATTTCTTCCGTCGTGATCTTCCTTCCCACTCTAGAGACTCTGATTCTTCTTTCGCTTGTCGCGGTCTCTACGAACACCCTCCTTCTCAATGGCGCTCTCATCAACCTCGCTCTTCTAACTCGGGGGATTCGTTTGCTTGCCGTGGTCTTGCTCACAACGAAGAAGATCTAGAGGTATCTCGTTCTCCATTACAACAATCCCAATCCAACCGTCCTCGTCACAACGCTTTCTATGATGATTACTATGCTTCTCCTTCCGCTACTGCTCATCAGAATATTGCTTATTATACTGTCCCTGTCACTTCTCAATACACTTCCATGGAGTCTGATCAATCATTCTGTCGACGATCCCGAAGACGCGATGGAGTCCTGTTGGAAAATGGTCCTCCTCCTCCTCGACGTCGTGATGCAGTTTTATTCGAGAATGGTTACCGTCCTACTCACCACCATCACGTTGATCAAACTCCTTCAAGAAGACAACCTCAGACCATAACTCGAAATCTTCAATCATCATTTCAATCAAGATATCGGGAAGAGGCTTCTGGAAATCAAAGATATGGAAGGGGTGCGATTGATTATAATGCTTATGTAGATTCTGACGAAGAAGAAAATATGCTAGGAAACCATGCTTCAAATCATCAAACTTCCTTTTCTCGTAGACGCCCTCCTCCCTCCAACTACCCTTCATCTAGTCACCGATATCGTTGAAGGAGTATTTCAGGATGCATATGGTTATTAAACTCATTATAATTACTTTGGATTTTCCTGTTGATTTTAGTTTGGGGTTCTTGGTACACGGTCAAATTGGTTTTCATTGTACGGGCTTTTTTTCATAACTTTAGGTTTTTTAGTAGAGTTCATCTCATGAGTTGGAATCATATCACAGCTTGGATAATCAATACCTTTTCCATCTTATTGAATCTGATATTTCAACTTCCTTCTTTCTAGTGGTCGATGTGCTCAAGGGTTGAATTGGGATACTCTTGGTGGAAGCTCTTGTTGTTTTTGATTATCATTACTGTTAGAGATTATAGTCCTTAATGTTTTTTAAGACTTTGGTATACTTATTTGGAATGTGGACTTTGTGATACACGGTTGAAATTGATTTTGCGGAATTTTCATCTAAAACTTTGCCTTCCTTTCAAGTGCCGATGTTGTGAGTTTGAGACAGACCAAAGAAATTGGCTCATCTTCTTGCATTTGAACACTGTTGAGCCTTCCGCTACTTGACACATTGTGAGTTGCGAGAAAGGTAGATATGTACCATCATTCCACGAAAGCCTCCCTTGTAAGTTAGATGAACATTGGAATCTACGATGAGAGGATTTAGTACTCAGTGAAGTCATTTAAACCCAACCCAGTCCGTGACTAAATGTCTGCAATGAATGAGCTCCCGATATGAGAATCTCAACAACTTAAACCTTACCTCGAATGGTCAAGTTTGTTACTAAATACTCTAGCACATACAAGGGTAAAGAGGTGGAATGGTAGGCAAGTGACCACTTTGTTTGCAGTGTTTCCCAGATGAGTAAGAGATGATTGGTGAGACGACGACAATCCAGCCTTTTGGCTAGGTAAATTTGTCATCTAAATGCCTTTGATACCCCCACCAAGCGCATCTTAGCCTTTGGCAAAAGATAGGTCGGAGGTTGTCCAAAAACCTGGGCTCCAAGTGGATTAAGTGAGCGATTCCGCACCCTCCAAAGTCTCAACCCTTGACTTTTGCAACCATCAACTTCCCCATTGCCTATTTTATATATATCGCTCTTACCGGTTCATAAGCCTCTTTGAGTTTGAAGACTCATTCTTTTATGAACCCTGAAAGAGAGATATTTGGAGTACAACCGAGAAGGTCTTGTGTAGAGTGTATCAGCATTAACAACAACCTCAGAAATGTTGACTTTTATGCTTCAGCGCTATTTTGAAAATATCCTTAATTCGTGAATAGAAATTTTTAACAAGCCGTGTCAACAAGTTATGATACCATCAAGGCAAGTATCATGTCTGGATTTATGCATAGCAGATTATGCACGACATTTGTTTGATGCTTTCAAACCCTATCATCCATAGTTGATTGTCATGCCTCGTACATGGTGCATCCACATCAGTCAAACAAAAGTGAGGCCGATTGTTTGTTATCTTCGCTTTTGAATGGCTATTGCCCAACGCGAGGGACGGTTCTTAATGCTTCGCCCCTTGCGTCCTTTCTTTGCTAACCAAAAAAGGGAATACATACCAAAAAAAATGGCAAAAGAATCGTCTGAAAACAAATCTTTACCAATGGATATAAATACCATGGGATAATCATCATCAATTTTTATACCGCTGATCTTTCGACAATACTTTGATTCCTTCTCCCACTCTTCGACGGCGAGATGCCATCTGATGAAGATGAGCTTCCTTCTGCTCCACCTGGTACCTCTCGCACTCGACAACGGCAAGATGCAGTCATTTCTGAACATGGCTACCAATATCTCATGGAACAAACTACACCCAGCGGAACTCCTCAAACCACCCAAGCTTTTTGACAAAGTTGTTCTCTCATCCTCAGAATTCAAATAGGACAACCTTCACTGAGAATAAGGGATCAGCTCTTTACGACCAGATTTGAGGATGAGACTTGGATGCTCACTATGAATTGACCTTATCTCTGTTTCCGGTGCAGGTTGTGCAATTTGAGAGTCGGTGACGGGAGGATAATATTGTTGAAAAGCTGAGGTGGTTTGAGGAACACAGCTTGGTGTGGTTGGTTTCATGTTGTGTTCATGATGAGTTGGTTCACCCATTTTCAAAACCAATGTTTGCATTTCGCTGTCGTCGAGTGGGAGGGGTATCATGTGGAACAAGAGAAGGTCCGTCAAACCACTTGATATTCCCCACCATTCCTTGTAGTCTTTTGTGTTTTGTTTCCCTAACCAGCGCTTAACATGCCCAAGATTTAGATATCCAAGATATGTATAGGATTTCACATTGAGAATTGAATATGGCGAATAGTAAAACGTAGGACAACTCCAAAACACGTTGGCACTCGCAATGAAATTGTGCTGACTGACTCTTACAATTGAGATAAACTCCGGACAGATCTGTTGTTTACAAAGAGATACAGAGACAGCAACGTGTGACATACAACATCACACAATATTCCACTGTTTCCAACCATTGATACTGTAAGCCATTGTGTTCTGAACTGCTTTTTATATGGATTGTGTTTGTAAAAAAGTCTATATAAAGTTGTTCAATAATCACTGAATCAATCTTGCGGCCAGACATCTTTACCTGAAGCCACACCTCATCCACAATTTTGAGAGCCATTATATAAATTTGGGCAAGGAATATTTGCCATCCAGTAATGAAAAATTAGAATCAAGTTTGTGCACTAATTGGCCTTTTATTTTGAAACTTTGACCAATGATCAACTTATCCATTGGAGTCTCTAAGGTGAAACTCACACATTGTTATATCCTCTGATATGAGGTCAGAACTTTCAGGCTTCTGTCTTTAAACTGTCAGTAGATGCAATCTTCACTTCATCAAGTCCAGCATAGCTGGTCCTTAGCAAGAAGATTGTACAGTAGTTGTGGCACCGGCGGAACATCAAAATAATGGTGCGGGAGAGCTACATAACTGTCCATCTCTGCAACACATCAAATAATGCAAAGGATCATTGCGACCAACCTCTGGCTCTAACTTTCTCCTGTGGCCAATGAAAAGCTCCACAGTGTCCACAGTGGTTGGACATATTCCCAATCCAGTGAGGTATTTTGCCTCTGAATCATTTCAGTATTCTTTATTCTTTCTTTTCACTTTGAGCTCCAACAGGGACTTTGAGCATGTCAGGCTCCAGGATGGTGGTAGTGTTTTTGAAGATTGAGAGTGGAATTTAGTCAAAGTACCTATTGAAGATGGTCAATTTATCCTTCAAATTCAATGAAGGTGCATGAAAACTTCCCATGTTTCAAATTCTGAAACTTTGCATTTCAGTGACAGGATTCTAGAGAGTTATGAGCCATTGTGCCACTAACTGTTACACATTGACACTTCATATTGCTCCAATCAATGTTTGGTGTCTTCCTTTAACAATTCTCCTCATGAATCTGTCACTGTGGTTGGCCTGACTTGAACCAATGGATCATCCATATCTGGGTAATATATTGCCATCATGTAGGCTTTCTCTCAGAATCTTGCATTGCCTTTTTTCCAGCCATCATGATTCACCAGGATTTAACCGTGCCACATCCCATCCAATTGATGCACATATAAGTCCATCAGTCATAAAACAGTAGACCTTGACACATTCTTCAGCAAAACCAACAGAAAAGCACAACCACCAATGGTTCCACGTCCGGAATGATTGCCAAAGTGGCCCACCCATGTCCTTTCTGCGGCTCACACATTTGATAGAGTGGTGATTGCATCCAATAGGGTGTTCACCACTTTGAAAACATCAAAGTAGGTGTCAGTCAAATATGGAATCAGATTAGCCCCTGAGACAATCGGCAGGACATAACACTGCCAGCATTAAAGAGGTTCCCATATTCCCAGCTGGAACCTCTTTAATGCTGGCCGTGTAACCCAGATAAGAACTGACAGTAGATGCGAGTGGTAGGAGGATGAACACATTGATTGTATGTTTCACATAGGAATTATGACAATAGGCGCAAGTGGCATATACCTCAGATGGAGACCATTGTATGACCCAAGTAGGAATCATCACAGTAGATGTGAGTGGTAGGAGGATCAGAACATAAATCATATGTTTCACGTGGCAGCCATGACAGCAGGTGCAAGTGGTAGGACATGAGAAACACATGAGTCATGGCAAGTGTCACGGTGCGGTCAACACAATAGTGTCCACCAAATTGAAACACGTATCATACCCCCATTGAAGATGAAAGGAGTGATAGTAGCGGTTTCATGGGGGTGATATCCTCTCGAGGGATATTATGAAAGAATGGCAAATTGCAGTATACACCAGAAAGGGTAAGTGACACAGTGTTTGCATCATGTTCCTTCTTGTGATTTTGCATCTTCAAAGTTGTCAATACATCTTGAACATATGACTTTCTTTTCTACATTTGATTGCTGTTTTTCCCAATCAAGCTCCTCAATCAATCTGATGTCACATAGATTTTTATGTTCAAACCCCAACCCTAACCCTGTCTGCCTTGCGCAAGGCCATCTATCTATTGTCAGGCCTTGGTAAAAATCCACGGATCCAACTCAAGATTGGATTTCTATGTGATTTAGGGGATATCATCTAAATCTTCTTAACTCTCAGGTTGTTGTTTTAATTGTTTTCTTTTCATTAAACTTGATCTTTTCCTTTTTCCTATATATCAAATTTTAATTACTAGACATACTGCACCAGGACTTGCAATGTCTCTGACATCATTGAGCTGTACTATCATTTTCCTACTACTTCATTTGTACTCAATTAAAGATATGGTTCTACATATAATGTGATGTCTCTTGCTGAAGAGATGGTTCTTCATCCAGCTTTTGCAATATATTCACATAACCAATTCCCTATTGGAAATCACACTACCTTTTTATACTGTGTCAAATGCCTTGAGGTATTCAAGTATTCAATTGTGTACGCAAGTCTGCTGATGCAGCTTGTGCAATGTCACTTTGTCTCAGAGTCCAGGCAGAAAATTATCAGTCTGAAGTGGAATTTGAAAAAAGTTGGTAGGGTGAAGTTACTGTTGGGCTGGCATCTCACATTCTTAGACTATGTATCCTCAAGGCACTTGATAATTGACCCCTATGCCAATATATATAAATCACAATTCTTACAAGACTCAATGGAATAATAATCAATGACTACAGGTTCTAAATGATCCAAACAGGTGAAGAGACAGGATCATGTGGTCATGGTATGCAGAACCAGATGCCGGGCCCCCAATTTTCATGTATTTTTAGCAATTCCTCATTCATTATTGTATCACACTCTCTTATTTTTACCACTTAAAGAATTCTACTCTAGTCATAAGACTGTTTGCTATGTTAACTCAGCACTGTCAATTGGGAGTTGGAACTTGTTTTGACAAACGGGAATGGTGGCAGGTGAAGAAAGATTTAGTTACAGATGCGAAATGACATCAGAATGAAGATGGGAAGACCTACGGTCAATACCAGAACCGCTCCGCAACATATAGCGGTATCGGAGCGGTATTGGAGCGGTTTTTACACCGCTATATTGACCACTATACGTAGCGGTGGCTCCGCTCCGCCATCCCAAGGCAAGAAAACCATTAGCGGTCTGACCGCTCCAATATGGGAAGGGTCTGAGGGCACTTCAATATGCCTTTTAGCCCTTATAGCAGCGATATATAGCGGTATCGGAGCGGTAAAATACCTTCCGCTCCGATACCTTGTGATATTTTTTTAAAAAAAAATATCGGTCAAGTATCGGTGATCTCATAGCGGTTACTCCGCTCCGATACCAAAATGGGTTGAAATCCATAGCGTATCGGAGCGGTTCTGGTGTTGCTACGGTAAGCTATCCAATAAGAGAAGAGTGGAAATCAAATCTCAAAGAAGGGTAGACATTCGTGAAGTATTGGAGAGCGCAGTGGTTTTTCCAGATTTTCCTCAATTGATTTTTGTTATCTTTTTACTATCATCCAAATTCATTATCAACAAAAAATTTAAGAGTGTATCTAATATTGTTACAAAATTTTGTTGTTATACATCGATTTCTCACAAAAAGTACAAAAATTTTTGATTACCCACCATCCCTCCCAATAGGCTTACTCATATTAAGTTGTATATCTATAATCATGTATCCGCCCCTTAGGGTCGGAGGTTTTAGGAGTCATGGGTCATTTTTTCTTTTCCATCAGTCAGAAGTGAACAAATAGAAATCAGGTCTCAGGACCGTGAGGCGTTTAATTCATTCAAAGTCATTTCATCTCAACGAAAAATCTACTTGAGCCAAAAACATTCCATAGACACCCTGGGTTGAGAAAACTTGGGCATCATCAGAGGCAAGTCCTTGGAGAGACCTTGTGCAACATTTTTATCTGAGGTATTTTTCTCCTCTGAGAATCCCCTTGGGTCAAAAACTTGGAATGCTTCTGTCCAAGGTTTGGAACCAAAGAATACAGGTAAATATGTTTGTGGTGCAGGTATCACACAAGTCACATGGTGTGTGGGGGGGCCTGTGGGCCAAGGGTCTTTTATCTGGGTAGGGTCTCTGTGTGGCAGGGTTCAGGGATGGGCTGGAGGAAAAAGAAAAAAAAATGAAACCAAAAATGAATCTTGAATCTATGTGCTTTTAGATTTTTTCAAACATTTGTCTCTGACCAATAATGTTTGGAAATCATGTTGTTTGGAAATTTCAATTTCCCACAACACATTCTACATTTTTTCAACCATTATTATTTTCCAAATGTTCACAAAAAGTGCCTGTAAAACGATGATTGGATTACCAATCCCCAAAGATTCAATTTTCTGATCAACCATTTTCACACTTTAACCTCTGTAAAAGATAAACATGAGCATGTTCAAACCTAGCCCGGTTGCACAAAAACCCAGTACACCCAGTCAACTTTTTGGCTGGAATCTGTCAAGAGCTGTCGACAGATACACAAAGTTACCATCAAAACGCAGCTGGGTGTACCAGGGTTTTGTGTCAAGCGGGTTAGGTTTGAAAACGGCTATTGTAAAAGTATATTTATTCAAGGTAAACAGTAATTTTCCATCCTTTTCATTACATTTGTGAAAATCAAAAATTTCTCATCCAATGTATATTTTTACAAGCAAAACTTCACAGCCAACAACAAAACATGCCTAAAAATGGCAAAGGCATTTTGAAACAAAAATTGTGTACATATTACTGGACATTGAGACCTGTTCTCACAATCAAAGCCTGCTCTCACATTTTGAGGCATGTGATTTGATTTATTAATATGATAAATTATGTTAGGACAAAAATAAAAGAGACAAAAAAATAGATTGAGATGATCAAACTGAAGCCCAAAGGCATGCGGTTTGATGTTGTCCTGGTCACAGCTGCATTTTTCCTTTTCAAGCCATTTGACTTGCTCTTTCCTTTCAATCCATTTGACTTTGAGAATTCCAAGGCAGTCTGTCATTAAAAGGACATGACTTCATCATGGCTGCACAAAAAACAAGCAAAGAAATCAAAAGAAAAATTATTTGGATTCTTAAGCTCTCTTACACTTTGTGCAATTTGACCTCCGTGCATAACCATTTTCCACTTCCACTTTGCTGTCATCCTCAACCTCCTGCATGCCATCATCCTTTGACTTCATCTCCTGTTCTTCCACAGCACATCCTTTTCACCCTTTTGGTTTGTTTATCTGTTTTGAACCCTGTTCTACAACTGCTTCTGTTGATACATGTTTCTGTTTGATCTTTTGTCTTGTTTGATGCTGTGCGCTGAGACATTCCAAGTCAATCTTGATTTTTTGAAGCTGGTGCTACACAAGCGCACAGAAAAACAGTCAAGAGATACACTCATATTTGAAAACATAAGAAGTCAGAACACACCTTGCTCCACTCCATGAGGCGCAAAGGGCAAAATCTTGTCTTCTAATATGTTCTTCAGGAACAAGATTGGATACCCTTAAGGACTTTTGATCAGGATTTTTGGTGTCTTCTCTATCAGAGGAGAAAAAGTATTCTCTATTTTGCTTCACCTTTGTTGTTTGTTCTGCAATGAGGATAGACAGAAGACTGAGCATCAGATAAAGAAGGGCTCAGTACTGAAATTTAAAAATGGTTCACCTTGTTTGGTTTGTACCACCATTACCAAAGGTGCATCTTTTCTTTTTCATATCCTTGATCCAGGTCTTCCTCAGAATCAATATTGTCTTCATCTTCTTCAAAGTTAATCTCTCTTTTTCATCAAGTACCTCAATTTGCAAAAATGGTTGATTCACTACCAGCCTTTTGCCCAAATATTTGTTCATCTTGGCCTGTGCAGTCTTGAGTATAGGTGATTTTTCCTCTGTAGGTAGGTGACCAAGAATACACGACCGAGGATTTATTATGTGACAGACCTTCAATGGACTCAAGTTCTGTAGAGATCAATCTTGCAATACCAGCATTCACCTGATCATTTGCAAGTCACACACCTGCCACACTGCCATTCTAAAATGTATCCCGAGTCTATGGTGATTGTAGCGTGATTGCATTCGTGATCAAGACAAAGTGAACGAATTCCAACACATCTTAACATATTTATCAATGACAATCTATACACACCTATGAATGCCCCCCTGTACATAAGTGTTTTGGTCAGATATAATGAGCCCTAAAGTATCCTTTGATCGAGATCCTTTGATCGAACGCGAGTCCCACCCAAGAGGCCTATGTGATCGATGGGAAGCATAGAAATTAAATATGATCGTTCGATATTTGACTATGATGATGATATGTGAATCTAATTTTATAATTTTATCCGCATTGAAATGTTTTTGGTGTTGTACACTACAAACACTTTGACACTTGGAGCATTGACAATCCCGGAAGAGTTTAAGACAGGACAAGATCTGTAGATCAAAAAAAACTTGAATCCGATTCATTTTTAAGGCTTTTTACATACAACCACTTCTTCTGCTTTAATTTTTACATCTTTGATTTTTCAATTTTTCTTTTGATTGAAATTAAACCTCACCTTCACTTTTATACATACATACTTAACTCTATCATGACTTCCACTGGCGATCACAGCAAACCAACAGTGTTAATCTTAGGTCAGTTTTAACTTCACTTTTATTTTCAATCAAGATATTCAGAACAAATTAATCCAAAGTCCTGCTTTGTTTGTTTTGATTTTTATCATTAAGGTGGTTTACAAGATGGTCATGCTCGAGCTTTACTTCCTTTTCTCGTCCCTGCAGCTCCTGCTGAGTGAGTTAAAAAAAGTTTAATGAAGAATAACTGTTCAAGATTTCGACCGAACCTGATCGATCGAAACTCTATATCACATCAATTCCATCACATTTTAGACCTTTAGTCAGACACGTTCGATTGGTCGACAAATACTTGTGCTTACCAGAGGATGATGCTTACACCACTTATGTTGTGGGTCTTGGTTTTCTAATCTCATATCTGATTCAGATTCCAACATTGATTCAAATTCTGACTGATTCATTGCTTTGATTGGTTTATATGGAAATCAATAGGATAAGGAATCCCAAAGAGTTTTGAAAGATGCAGCTACAAAGGGTGTGGAATACATGCAAGCTAACTTGTTGGTGGCTAGTTGAGTCTCAGTTTACCAATTCGATCGACTTACAGCATTTCTGACATTGGTTATCCATTTGGTTATTCCAGCTTCACGTACCAAGGCTTTCACGCTTCCAGAGGCTTATCGAGATCCTACTTCATCTTCTTCTACGACACCTTCTTACGATTTTGTGTTTGATTTTACGGGCGAGACTGATTATAATGTCGAAGAAGGTGTACACATCGAACGTACTGCTCGACTCTTACCAGAATTAGGTCGAATCGCAGCTGAGTGTCAAGTGAAGGCTTATGTACGAGAATTGCCGCCCCTTTATCATAGTGATAATAAAAAACCAATCAAGGAGGGTGAGGGAAAGCCATTCAGCATGCGTTCTAAATGGATTCATGAAGGTGTGCGTGCAATGGCGGCTTTACCTACGTGAGTCCAGCATCTTTGGATTTTCACCTATAAAACTCGATCAACTTTTTCATTTACCAAATCACCGCTCTTTTCCTTTGTACCTTTCATGATAGCTTGAACCTCGTGATCGCTCGCCCTGCCTTATTGTATGGCCCGTACATGGTTGATGGATGTTGGTCCCTTCATGATTTCTCACCTGAAGTTCAAAGACTCCGTCAGCTCTTCTGACTGGTTTGAATTACATCACACATGCTTCTAGATGCCCCGAGACTTTTGATTGGCGAAATCTATAAGTACATTGGCGAACGAATGGAACACCTGTGAGTCAGATGTCCTTGAGACACAATTCATCCTACACGCTATGATTCGCTTGCATGGGGGTTTCGTTTTGTTCTATACTTTTAAGAGGTTTTTGTCTGATCTCATTCAATCTGTGCCATCCTTTACAATTCCGTCTCTCGTCGGATCTTATCATCTGTGCCATTCTGTTTTTTCTTGAATCCGGCCATTGGGGACTATTCCTACTACCGGTCATCTATCCGGGTCCTCCTGGTCTCACAACACTGCATACATTTTTTGCATCCGGTTGGATCAACTCGACTAGTTGGTCAGCTGATCTTCGGTTGCATACTCTCCATTCTCATGACCTTGCGTCTGGGCTTTGGGCTCTTGCACAGTGGATGGCCAAATCTGGACGAAGCGACGCTGTCTCAGATCCGATCCCTTGTCTCTTACCTTCTTCAGAGAAGGTACCAGAGGGTATGCCAGCCCGAGACGCAGTGGTAACGGCACCGATGTTCAATTTGGTCGACGATGGCGATACAACCCAAGGCATGATGGCTACTATGGCCGGAAATGTCGTGGGCGTGAAGACAGGGTTCTATGGAAAGATCATCAACCAGTTTGCTAAAGTTGGTGTCTTTCCTATCTTGAAAAATCACGAGATCACTGACCAATGATTGACAAATCTGTAGCTCAATATGGTTGACGTCATTGAAGATGTGAATGAAAAAGTGCGTTGTTGCGCCATTGATCTTTCATTTTGTCTTCATTAAGCGTCGTTATTGAACCTCATCTGAATTCAACAGCACTTTGCACCATGGCCTGAGATGCTGTCGAAATCAACTCCACCTATCGTCAACACTCCTTTTACGCCCACTTTACCAGTCGCCCTCTTGTCTAAACATCACATTGCGCTAGATGGTACAAAGGTCAAAAAGGTTGTCGGTTGGACTCCGAAATACACAGCGATGACTGAGGAAGTAATCAAAGACCAAATTGAAAAGTTTAAAGAGGAAGGCGTTTGGCCTAATGCTTCACCACGATCGAAGTAGACTTGTGTGTGGTTTTACAGGAATTTAATCCATTTCATTATTGTTCATTGTCTTGAAGATGTTTGGAACATCTTTTGTGATAAATAAAGCATAAAGACAAACTTTTTTTTACTCTATCCCTATCATTCTTTTTTCTCTTTTAAGATTATTTATTTTTGATCCTCTGTCTTTCTAGGTCTATATATATAAACATCCTAATCTTTTGTCTTTTTGTTTTTTTCTTTGTTTTCTTCGTCTGTCCTTGATTATGATCACCATGTTGTGTTGGGTTATTCTTGTGAAGATTTGGTTAAAGTTTAGGGTTTTGAAAGCTTTTTATTTTTTGGGTGGGATTTTATTGAATCAGTCCATGCAGAAAGAAATTTAGAATGTGTTGTACTTTGATCGTTGAGAAGTTATATAATTTGATGTCATTTTTTATTTGATCATCTTGCTGATTATTATCATCTGTGATATCAAACATATCATCTCTATGTGGTGCAAGATTACTTGTATGTACTTCCAGGCCCATCTTGGGAATTGATCAAATGACCTTATTAAGACTTGAGGAAGACAAGCTCAGAAAACAAGGGAATACAATGAGCCAACACATCAAAAAAGTTGACTTTGATGAACATGATCTAAGAGGTCAGCAAAGAGGTAGACAAAAAAGTTTCAAAGGGTAATCATAGTAAGATACAAACATCCTACAGTCTCAGATATCAACAGAAACATGATTATAAAGACCCCACTTATGTCAATCACCCCAAGCATGTACTAGCAAATGACTTTGTGAGATATTTTTGAATCTGATCATTAAGCTCTCCTAAGTTATTCTGCAGGTTCAAGCCTATATCTTGATCATGATAAGCCAAAGGAGATGATTGGTATGGAATATTGGAAGGTTTTGAACCATCATTTGCTGTGAATGCAACATCAAATATTCAGCTTTAAATTCAATTTTGGAGATTCTTTGTAGAAACAAGAAGTAAAGACATCATAGGTCATTTGGAAGTTTATGTTGGGAAGTCACACCAAAGACATAGTAATTGAAAGGAGAAATGTAAGATAGTAGTGCATTTTTCATAGTTGTTGCTCTCAGTTCCAGAGCCTGGGAACAGACAGGTAATGCAACCACTTGAAATGATGACCTGCAGAATGAGAAGAGAAGTGGCAAGATTCCTAACACAAATAATGGTTAAGATGATGTAATATTTGTAGGAGCAGAGTTCAAAAGGTTTAAGCTCACTCACATGCACTGGCTGGGTGGGACTGTTGGGGCATCAACATACAAGTAGACATCATAGCATTTTAGAAGCACTGATATTGATATAAGGAATCAGTGTGGTGCTGGGAGCTGAGTTGTGCTAGGTGTTGGTACAAACCAACTTTGTCATGCATTGAAGTCAGCTAGTCATACTTTCACCTGGGTCAGTGTCTTACATTGGACAGGGTCATCAATTCTCTTGATACTTCTCCTTTGACTCATTTTCATCAAAGAAGGAGAAGTGTGTTTGGGGGAGCCTGGGCATGGGTTGGTGATTTTTGCTGTCTCAATATTATTCTGCTGAAATCAACCACCTACCTGTGTCCAGACTAGATGGGTGGGTGATCCAAAAAAATTACAGTCCCTACTTAAGTTGATGACTTTAGACTTGGAAAGTTGGAAATGATGTGTGTTGTGAGTGTCAAACAAAAATGTGGCAGGCATGAGAGAAGCATGGATATCTCCATAATTCTCTGGTTTGGCTGGTATCATGGCCCAGCCAGGTCCATCCCTGTCTGTTAGTACTTGCTCATGGAACATGACTCTAACTTGTGTCTTGGTGATGTCTGGCAGTCCACTTCTCCCAGAGTGAGTAAGAAAGAATACCAGAGTGAGGCACTGACATTGTAGTAATGGTATTGGGCTTGACAAACAATGTGGCAGCCAGCAATGACCACTGGGTACATATTCCCCAGTCATCAACATAAGAAGATTGTAAACTTCAACAACCTTCATTTTACCAATTTTATCTATCTAGACACCATAGGTTGCCTTTGGAGTAGATTCACAACTTGATCATTACACTTTTTTCACATGGCATACTAAGTACAGTATTCAATTGTAATTACACATAATAGTCTCCAAGGTTTTCCTTCATGGTTGCATTGGCATCAATTTGACTACTCCATGAAGATGTGATACAAAGCTCTCACAGGGGTCTTCCACTTTTGTTTACCCAAGATGGTCATTCAAGCTGAACCTGAAGCCAAAGAGATTCAATTTCAGCTCAATAGCTTTCAACTAAGTCAGATGTACAGAGCTACAACCAAAATAATTTACATACACATTTACCAACCCATAATCAACCATATCCTCATCAAGCTCTTGAAACAGCTTTCAATACGTCTTCCTGTAAGACATAAAAAGGTATGATTGTCTCAGTCATTTACAAAGTATGGAACAAAGCATTCAAAAGTTCATCACGTACCATTGCTTCTTTCCTTGAAGGATCAGGTGCAGAATTGATCGAATTCAGATGAGTGACAAGTTTGATTAAGATAGGAGCGAGCTAAATAACCCGGCTCAGTATCTTACCCCATCATAAAGCATATAATTACAAATCTATAATAAAAAGATGACTCACCCTTCGAGGTGTGACTAGCTTGTACTTCATTTCACGATAATCTGGATCTAGATATCCACCTACATCTGGACTCTCTAGTAATCCAACGATCTGTGAATAAATGATTCCAAAAGTTGTTCAACTTGACTAATAAGTAAAGTCAAGCATTTCAGTGAATCATAACTCAACCTGAACCAGTTCTTCAAAAATCGGTTCAACACCTTCGATATTGACAGATTTGGCACGCGAGACTGCAAAACGTATGTCATTGGCCAGATAGGATAGCCCTCCATCACTCATTTTGATGGGTTCACGTTCAACAAAAAACCCCTGAGGAAAATGAAAAAAAAAACCATCTTAGAGAGTGACAAGAAAAGTGAAAGATGAGTTTCGAAAAAAAAAAAGTCTTACCATCAATCTCTGAGCGATATAGGACCAAGCTCCAAGATGAATCGCAACTCGAACGTTGTGTGGTAAGATGCTCAAAACACTGGTCATCACCGTTTTAAGATAATTCATACATTCGATCAAATATACACTAGCTTCACCATCTTCATCAACTGCCATCATTCGATCGGTTGTCCAATCATATTCAGCCAATTCAAAAAAATCTTTAATCTTGGCATGAACTCTTGATAGGATCGTTTCTTCGGAAAAACTTAGTGTGGCTTGGAATGCTCGAGATGAATCTAATTTCACTAATCCACCCCTCGGTGTTACCCTGTATGAATATTATCCAAATCCAAATCAGAAGAACGATGTCAATTTATAATGGGCTCCTTGTATCTGAGATTGGAATGATCTATAGTAAGATTCTTAAATGCTTACCGAAGGGTGACAAGTAAGCGCTCTAGTGCGAGACATGCGGTTTGAAAGAATTGTAGATTGATTACAATCTGAGAAAGTTGTGACAGATTCCTGGTATTTTGAACTCGAGAACGGATATGACCGTTGATATGCTTGATCAAAAGTTTGTCAAGTGACTAGAACAAAGTAAAGATAGATGATGACCGAGTTCAAGAATTAGATTTTTAAGATACGTGTGTTTAATTAAGATATGGAATACGAGATACCTTACGTAGCACATCATCAGTATCGCGCATCGCCGAAACAAATCCATCCGCAAAATGATAGTATTTTGTAACAAAGTTTCGAATATCGATGCAACAAAGTGGGTAAGTCTGAGAGAACGGAAGAGCGGCTGGATATCCACCCCTAAAGTGAGCAAGGAATTCAACATCAAATTATATATTCCAGATTTTTTAACGTAAACCTGAAAAGACATACGTGATTAAATTCTCTTGAGCCCATTCACCCTGTTCAGGTAAGAAGCTCACTTCTACTACCTTTGAAAATTCATCCTCGTTGTTAACTGTCATTGGTTGATGGTCATCATCCAAGACTATCTGCTGAAAATCTGTACCGTATTTCCATCGCAAAAGATCGGTGTACCGTTCAAAGAGTGAACTGAGAAGGACATTTAATTGTGTAGCCGGGTACTCATACGCCTATAGATTTTCAAAGTCAGTAAGATAGCCACAAAATTGGGCTTTGGAGATGAAAACATCACCTACCGCAGCAGTTTGGGCAAATGTGAGTAGTTTTGTCTTGATTCCAAGAAAGATGTCGAGATCTTCGCAACCTCCGATTCCCTCAGTAATAATTGCGACTACCCGTTCACACATCTCCTCCCAAAGATTATCCACATCTGTCTCATCCCTAAAAGACTTTGTAGTATGTAAAACATGAGCCTCGATGATAAAAAAGCCGACGATAGACTCCATTAAGCTAGCCAAGTTCTCCAATGAAAATGGGGATGAGGCGGTAGAAGAAACAATCAAATGAGCTTGTGCTCTACGATCGTCCCTGAATGACTTCCTCAACTCTTCGTTGGCATCAAGGGTTTCATAGATATGAATGGCCAGGTAGAGTGGTGAGAAATCGATCCGAGATTGAGTTGACTCTAAGACATTATCTGAAGTTAAAGGATGGAGATGATTTAGTCAAAATTTTCAAAATCTCCTTGATCACTTGGATATTCTGACTCACATTCATGCCGTTCACTGACCGCCATCTCGACCGGTGTGTTGACATCCACAAGCATGGCTAAAGAAGCCGAGTCCTGATGTTTAACTCGGTCTCGTCTTGCTTTCCATCTCCTTGTCCTCATCTCCATTCCTTCCATCGCCAATTTTCCGACACTTCCACTTCGTTCACGTGCTTCATATAACCAAGAATTGAGTTGTTTGGTGACTTCTTCTCTAACTCTAATTTTCTCATTTGGAAGTGCTTCACCAAGATATCCAGCAAAGGCAGCAAATGGTAAGAGAGGCTTAAGATGAATGAATTGAAGTTCATCTAATGATCTTAAAGCCGAATAGAATTTTCCCGTTTGAATCTGTTGAGAGACTTTCTTAGAGAGATCGAGGACGCGTAAACAAGCTTGAAGGGTATCGATTGTATCATCAATGTTGGATGCCACTTTTCTTGCATCGAGTAATGAAGAACGAGCTGAAGCTAGAGAAGCACCTGATGATTGAAGTGATGAATCGAGACTGACTACATGTGATCGAAGGGATAGAGTACCTTGTCGAACACTTAATAATTTATCAACTGATCCTATAAAGTCCTAAATGTAAAAGATATGATTTGGGTTGATTTAATGATTTGATGTATAAGAGAAAGAGAGGTGAGTGAGTGAATGAATGATGAGTTGACCTGATGATTTGCATGACAGACAGCTTCGATTTCGGCTTCTTTGGTTCTCATAAATTTAAGAAGATGTCGTAAGAATGCATCTTGTTGTTTAGATAAATGAATGTTACGAATGATAGGACCAAGATGATCGAGTTGATCTTGATGACCAGATCGAGTGGTTGATGAAAAGTCAGAATAAAGGTAAAGCTACAGATTGTATACGACAAGAGCGATTAGATTAAATGGTCGATTTGATTTGGTTTTGAGTGGAATGGGAAATGACTTACGTTTTGAAGTTGAGCTTCTATATCAGCATGAGTGAAGAATGTTTTCTTGGTGATCGATCGATTGCTTATTTCATTTTGATTGTGATTCATGGTTCATGTGAAGCGTTGGTGAAAGTTATCGAGAGTCAGAGTGAGTGAGGGTGAGAGTTGACTTGGGCTGAGTTCGAGTGGTGGATTATGTCATTATAAATAAAGTTGAACCCACTTGCAAGTCAAATTTAACTGTGTACATATTTATGCCAGTGCGAGATTTAACACTCCAAATTAAATTCTAAAAGACAGACAGCTCGAAATGAAATTTAAGAACAATTCTACAAAACATTTCGTAACTTTATAACTTTCTTCCTTTCTTTTTACTTCTCAAACAACCACTTCAACACACAAAACAAATCGTATCATGAACTCATCATTCACTTCTCATCCAATCACCAAACTATTCAATCAAGAACAGCCCATTAACTTAAGATCACTTCAAGGTTTATTATTAAATCATGGTAAGCCTATTCTTTCTTCATCCTCAACAATCAACTTATCAATCTGACCTCTCCTTACTTTCTTTCCAAAAGGTATCCCCGATCATCCTAATCACCTTAGACCTATCATTTGGAGTTTGCTCTTAAACTTAACATCTGAAACAAATCCTCAAAAACGATCAAAACAACTTAATAACAAAAGAACTGAATATAATGAGTTAATGAGTTATCTCGTTCAACAAATCGATCTTCATGTTTGTTTGTTTCTTCGAATTCTCAATCAAACCAAACCTAACTAATCATCTGATTGGCTCACATTGTGCAGAACGGTTCAAATCTCACTTCACCTGCTAGTTCTTCTTTTCCTAATGACTCGAAACAAACATCTCAACGCGATCAGATTAATCAAACTCTCAGCTCTATTGACGCTGATGTTCGTCGGACTCAAGCTAATCTTACCTTCTTCAGTTCACCTATGAAAGCCAATCTCAACTCGTCATCTGGTGTCAAACTTCATATTCTGATCAATCAATTAAACCGTTTAAATCCCCTTCGTTCTAAACCTTCTCATCAACATCAATCTGTTTCAAGATCATCTAAAGATCACATACACGAATCTACGTTTCATAATCAGAAACAAGACTCATCATTTGATGATCAGGAAGACGATTCTATCAAACGTTCCTCTCTCACAAGCTCAAGCTCCTGTACTACTACCACTAGCAGTCCTCTCGATGAGACCGACGAACGCGCCTGTTCACCTACTCATACCACTCACATCGAATCATCAGATCAAGACCATGCTCAGTTCATCACCTTACAACCCAAACTCGATCCTATCATCACTTACTCTGAATATCATGCTCAGCCTACCACTCCTCTCCTCAGTATCCAGGCGCCTAGTCCAATCTGTAGCCCTTCTTCACCTTCTACTTCACCTCTACCTAATCCCTTACCCACTCCTAGGCTATCCCAACGACCAGCATCTGACGAAGCAGAGGATGATGAAGGCGATAGACTCACTTACACCTTTCATGATTGTCTTACTCGTTTATTATATGTTTGGTCTACCCTTAATCCTGGCATTGGGTACGTTCAAGGAATGAACGAGTTGGGCGCATTGATCCTCTATGTCTTTGGTCAAACAAAACCTCAGCAAGTTGGCTACGAGGATAAATCAGAAAGTGATTTGCTGAGTGACAAAGTCGAAGCCGATGCTTTCTGGGCCTTTACCACTCTCGTGTCGACAGTCCGTGACATCTTTGTACAATCTTTTGACAATCCTTTACCTTCTACTCTCCTTCAACCTCACCGACCCAGTTCACCTTTACGGTTTACCGAACCTATTCAATTCTCAAACCCAATCCCTACCACTCGACAACAAGTTGGTATTGGCCGACTTTTGGACCGTTACGGGGCGTTACTCAAGTGGCTTCACCCCTCCCTTTCCGATCATCTAGCCCTACTCGGTGTCGACCCGACTCTATATACTTTCAATTGGTTTACCTGTCTATTTACTCACTGCTTTAATCTAGCCGACGTCATCCGGCTATGGGATCCACTTCTTACTTTGAATCTCGATCCTTCTCAGTCACAACACGGGGTAGCCAACCAAGAGGAAATGATGGACTTTTTGGTAGATATCGCATGTGCTCTCACGCTCCAGCTCGGTCCCACCATCTTAAATATTACAAGCTTTGCATCAGCCATCAAGTTACTGCAAGGCATTCGCTCCTTTCGCTCCGGACCTGGCTTTCCTGGCTTCCCTTCTCTTGACGTAGATACGATTGTTCAGGACGCCTTACTAATTCGTCAACGTCGATTGGCTAAAGGTTTTGCGACTGAACAGCCAACAACGGATCTGACCCATCATCCCAGTCATCAATTACCACCAGTACTCGAGACCGAAGAACAGGAATCAGCACATGATGGTCATCCACATCAACGTTCGTACAATCGCCCTGGTCCATTTAATGCGCTTGGCTGGACATCTCTTCAGCGGTATAAGTCCAAGTCTGCTACGAACCTTGGCCCGCCGCTACCATCGTCCCCGACCAATCAGCACCAGAGGTCAATGGAGCCTGTGAACGGTGCAGTAGAAAACCATAACGGCGGTCTGTTGGAAAAACTCAAGACTCGGGCTGAAGCTTGGAAGGATAGTGATACAGCTGCGACGTACGTCTGTAATTCCTCTCCCGCCCTTACTACTTGTTTTATTGGCTCATCGTATCTTCTATAACGTCCAACTCGCAGATTTTCTAAGCAAGCTACTAACTGGACCATCTTGGCGTCCTCATGGCGTCCACCAACGATCGTGTCTAAATTAACGTCTCTTTCGATGTCTGATCCACCTAGTCCTTCTACTCCTGCTTCTCAGTCATATAATCACCAATCACCATATGAGGCTAGCGATGCTGATACAGGAACCGAAAGTTTTCTCTCATCAGCGCGTTGGTCGCGACTTTCATCTTCAAGTTCCTCAACAGTCTCTGTAGACCCCATCCACTCGCCGCCCTCAACTGGTAGCCTTGGATCTCCTATCGCTTCCGGTTCAGTACTGATGGGTAGCTCGCAAGGACCTCGTCCATTGCTCTTAAGTTCGAGGGCAAGAACCACGGTCGTTACTCAGTCTCCAACGCCCTCTAGGGAAGGAAGTACCGGTGGTCTGATGTCCGAGTTAAGTTCATCTTGGAGGAAGATCAGCGGGAGTGGTGGTGGAGGAGGAGGAGGAATCAATTCAGTTAGTTATGCTCAGTCGCCGATTTCTTCCATGGGTTCTCAATCGCCTCTTCCAATCAATGGAGTGAAAATTTTGGGCAGATCGAGATCACCATCAATGGTCACTTCTCCTCAACGATCTCCATCTCTTCGTTCTCGACATGATGATTATCAAGTAACACCTACCAAGAAAAAATCATTAAGACATTCTTTACCTGATAGTCCTTTCACACCTTTTCATCATCTATCATAATCTTTGCATTTTTCCTCTTAGTGCTTGGACAGAAAGGATCGATTAAGACTCTGCATGTTGTAATTTACTTTCTTCTTTGTTGTATGAGCAGCTCTGATCAAGCTTGAGAAAAGATAAGAGCCGATCAAACCTGATCCTATTTCTTCTTGAATTCACGACAACTATTTTGGTTGATCTATGATGTGAAAGGAGAGGTTTGTGATGAGATGAATTCATTTCGTATCTCATGCAATCTATGTATTGAATAATATATGTTGTTAGTTTGAATGGGACCCGTTAATCCTCTGAAATTCATCATCTTGTTCATACCTTCGAACGTTTCATGACATTGATTGTTTTGATGTGATTCTTTCAATGAATATATGCTTCTCAAATCTTACAACGTCTCAAGAATATGCGAGTAACGACCATCATTTTGACAGGTGCCTCAATGGTCAAGAGAAGGAAATGAGTAAATTCAGGTTTCGCTTGGTATTTGTTGATTGTCACACAGATTTGAGCTCATCGCAGGGACAAGGATGAGGAGCGCAGGAATGCTACATTGAGGTAGAGACAGCAAAGTCTCCAAAACTGGGCACGTAGAGGCAGCGGAGTCTTGAAAAGAGTACAGGCAGAGGCAATAGTCTTCAAGGGAGGACAAATTTTTAGAGCAAAATCTGCAAGCCATGTCCTTTCCTCTTTTGTAAAATGATCATGAACACAAGAGTGCATTGCAGCGCGCATGAGCAGTAGAGTGAATAGAAGAACAATGTGCAGTGGCACCAGAGACAATAAAGAGACAAGATAAAATCGAGCTTATGCATCAAGTACCAATATGGGCAACGCGAGGTCAACAACTCAACTAAACTTCAGTCACGACACATAAAAGCGTTAATAATAATCCTGGTTGTTGAAAGCGCAATCCATGTTGAAGCATCCGTGTTTGACAGCTAGCATGATGCGTAAAGTACCGGGCCTCGAGCCTCCAAATAAAGCAGAGTCGAGGGGTATATGAAAGTGAGAGTCGAATTAAAAGTAAAATAGAAATTAACATTGCAGAGAAAGGTAAATAAGTGAAGAAGATATGGTCTCGGTGTGGAAGTTGGGAGGCGATGGAGTAGCACAAACGCTATCATGCAGTAGCAGCGATAACAGGAGTGGCTTCGGTGGCGGTAGACGTTTCCACCGGTGTCTCGACAGGGGCAACAGTCTCTGGAGCAGCCTCAGGAGTGGCATCTGCCGGAACAATCGTTTCGGCCTACATGAGGAGGAAGAATTAGCTTCTGAGTCAAGTCCGCTTCGTCAAAAAACCTTACAGGAGCAGTGTCCTTGGGAGGAGCAGTCTCTTCAGCCTCCTCTTTCGTAGCCTCGGGCTTCTTAACGACCTTCTTTTCATTGATGCCAAAAAGACGTCCGCTAAATCGTCGAGCAAGTTTAGCCAAGTCCTGGAAGAGGAGAAGTCAGTTGATGCAACCAAGCTTAGCAGCAAAGGCAGCTTACTTTTGGCGACTTCTTTTCCGTCTTCACTTCTTCAGCAGTTTCAGTGACCGGAGCCGCTTCCTCAGCAGGTGCTACTGGGGTTTCAGCGGCAGGGGTCTCAGCCTCGGCAGCCGGTACCTCAGCAACAGCAGCGGGTTCGGTGACTGCAAGAGTCTGTGCAGCGCAGTTTCTTAGCCAGCATAACAATAGTTGCAAAGAGAAAAACTTACTTCGGGTGTGGGTTCAGGGACTTCAGCTGGAAGAGCTGCTTCAGCAGGTTTGGGTTCTTCTAGCGGCTCAGTGGATTTCTTGCCCTTTGGACTCTTAGGCTTAAGAACGAATGCAGTGATCTTATCGAAAAGATTTCCGCGTTCTTTCCGAGGCGTAGTGACATCCTTCTCGGCCGTTGTGGGTTCAGCAGGTGCAGGCTCGGCGGCAGACGCTTCAACAACGGGTTCAGACTCGGCCACTTGAGGAGTTGGTTCACCGGGGCTAAAGTAGAAATCATGATGAGTAACGCAAAACCGCAGACACAGGTGTTGAGTACTTACGCGGGGTTGGCGGACGAAGCTTCCTGTTCAGTAGGAGCAACTGTAGCCTCCGGATCTTTCTTCTCTGTGGTGGCTTTGTCAAGCGGCTAAAAGATAAGACAACGATCAGAAACTTTAATAGAACCATAGCAGGAAACAGACTTACTTTGCGGATTTTGTTCAAAAGATCAGCAAAAGGCTTTCGAGCAGGTTTCTTCTCCTTCTTCTCCTCTTCAACTTTGGGAGCTTCGTCTGCCTTGGGCTCCGCAGCGGGAGTCTCAGTGGCCTAACAACGAGAGACATGAGAATCATTGGAGGGAGACCTCGGAGAAAAGGAAGGCTACTTACCGACTCAGCAGCAGGGGCTTCTGTTGCTTCCTCGACTGGGGCCTCGACAGCAGGAGTTTCGGCTACCTCAGACGACTAGAATACAAGGGTTAGTGTTAAGTATGGAAGTCAGTAGATAAGCGAAGGGTGAGACAAACCTCGACAGGCGCAGGGGTAGCGGCAGCGGCAGCTTCCGCAGGAGCGATCGAGGATTCGCCGACCGAAATGGGAGGAAGATTAGGAGCAGACTCGGTGATAGCAGACATGCCGAAAATCTACTAGAGTGTGAAGGTAAAGAAAGGGAAAGGAGTGAGGTTGTGAATTTGAAATGAGGGACGTGTGGATGACGAGGAGAAAACGAAAGATTGGTCAGAAACGATACACAAGGGAGGAAAGAGAGAGAAAGGCGAATGACAAACGAAGTTGAAGGAGAGAATGAGAGGTATGTATGATGAAGATGATGATGCAAACGGAGAAAAATGAAATAGGGATTCGGTCGAAGAAAAAATATAAAATTGGCTTGGGAAAGAAGAAGCTGTCTGAGTTTAAAGAGGAAGAACGAGAGTAAATTAAACAGTAGGGGTAGACAGGTAAAGAGGTGTACGTAGGTCTTAGTTAGAAGAATTTAAATAATACACCATACGTATATTAAATGAAATAATGCTTGAATTGAGTATTTCTAATTGGAAAGCCCAAGAGCGGGAGATGAATGGGAAGTTGAAACCTGATTGAGATATGAGCTCAGATCGTGATACATACACAGTTTTGAATTTAGCGTTGATGTTACATACGGTTTTTTCGATCGACTGTGGTTGAGAATAAGATTAAGTAATACAGTCTGCAAGGACAGCTGACAGGATACAGCTCATGGACTCACAACTCTCTACAGCCGCGGTGAACCACAGACCATGCTCGGTCAGAGTCAAGGACCACAGAACAAAGATCAAGCAAAGAAGTTAAACTGACCACGAGTAGGGTAAATAAATACAAAGGCAGCTTATTCGAATTTCGGAGGCTCTATATCAGCCACGATGAGAACATGAATCACATGAAAGCAAGGTAATAAGCGCGATCTAAAACCAATATATAAATCGTAATAGCGCTCATCACATGAATCTTTCGCTTTTTGGAAAGGTGAAGACCAATCAAGGATGTTGTGAATTCAGCGAATAGGATCATACAAACCTTATCTCCTATCCTCGAATTCATGTAGACTCAGCTCAGCAGCCCAAATTAGTTTCTACGTCTCCCCACCCTGACATTCTCGAAGAGGCTTCAACACGGTTTAATCAAAGTGGAAGATGGTCCATTCATCAACGTACTATGTAAGCCTGAACCTGTGTGGCGCAAACTTGTTGGAGCTCATCTAGGCTCACCCAGCTCCAGTAATCAAACTTCAGAAAGATCAGTCTCTGATCAGAGAAAACACTTGCCAGCCCGACTCATCTCTTACACATAGGGTATACAAATATGGTTCTGGAAATTGCCAGAAGGGTTTTCCTAGAACACCAGAAGTTTTTTATGGATGTGTTCCGAACTTATGGTGTCACTGTTATGAAGCTTTGAATAACCAACACCGTGTGTTTTCTAGAACACCAGGAAGCTTCTATTGTTCTGGAAAAAATTGTCTGGGAATTTCCAGAATGATATTTGTATACCCTAATTTTGGAGCTTGTAGATCTGATGAAGTGAAATCATTGCCAGAAAGCCAGTCTGGTGTCAGTCAGCAGACTGATTAATGATGGGGATCAGGCTTCCACTGTCTTGACAGAGTCATCTGATGGGTCTCATGTGAGCCTCCCTCAGCAAAGCACGCTGAAAAGTGAGTACCAGCTATATGATGGTGTGTATGAAATCAAGCCTGCCTACCTTTCATTTTACTTACCTATAATCCTGGGTCAAGGCCAAAAATTATTGATGTCAATTTTATTGCATGGAGCCTGAAGCTTTTTCATGTTACTATACACCGTGTCCGGGTAGTGTTCGCTCGTCGACGAGCGCGCACGACTTCCCTTTCTGCCTCAAAGGGAGTTGGTGTGCGCTTGTCGACTACACTACGGATCAAAATATTCGTAATTTTTACATGTTTTCACCATCTGTTTCAACAATGTTTTCCTGATGATTTGAAAACACCCCCAGTAAAAACGTGACGTAAACATATGTGGTTACGTTGCGAACATGTTTTGTTTATCTCTGCTCAACACTTGTCGTACATAATTGTTATGTAATCAGCATGAATGCTGAACGTATCAAGTATGAAAGTCAGACATACTTGCAACATATTGCTGACAAAATCTTTTTAGCTACATCTGTGAAATGTATTCTGCACATCTCATTTACATAAGTCGTATGTTTCTGGAACATGGATCCACCCCAGATTTTAATCGGGTCTCAGTTTGATTCAATTCAAATTGTGATTTTATTGTATAGCCGCTATTTTTGTATATATATTTTTGATTCCGTGTTTTTTAATCCAGTGAGCGCGCTCCATACTGGAGCTTGCATTTCGTTTCGCTTGGGTCACGATACCATGCAAACTGGGTTGATACACAGCAAATGTAGTAACATCAGAGGCTGTATACATTCCAGATGCGCAACAGAAATAAGAGGAACGACAATCTTCGATCGACAAAAAGTTCTTTAATGTAAAGAAGTAGTTGGAGGAACCCATAAAAGAAGAGAAAGTGAAAGAAAATAAACTAAAATAAAGGAAAGTAAAAGAAAAGAAAAATAAGATAACAAGTTGGTTCACAATCAGTCAATATTCAGTTCATGTTTGCTCCCCCTTGTTTTTGTCAGGAAGAATTATATCATCCTTGTGTGTTGTCATGATGGCTGCAAACGTGCAAGTACCATCAAAAACCTTGCGATCGGTCTCCATCACCAGATTTTTGAATCTAAACACAAATTCCATCAGCAAGAGCTCAGCGGATGGGTAGGTCAACTTGCTAACCACATACCTGGCTTGTGATGGCGGTGGTAGCTTTTTGATCCAACGTAAGCGACCATTGACCCACGTCCACATCGATTTTGGTAGGGAAGAGAAACCCCAAAATCATCAGTTTGTATTGATGAAAGGGTAGCAACTTTTCAAAAAAGGGATAATAGAATCAATTTACTCACTTATGAAACAAATTTTTCAATTTTAGTAATCTTGATGTTCCATCCTCAACATAATCATCGAACCAAACTAAAAAACCAAAGAAAATCAATCACTGATCCCTTGCCCAAACCCATCCCACAAAAAGGATCATTTTCATAAAACACTTACTTAACAAGTACATCACCATACCTTAAAACCCTTTGGATGATATCATGTTTAAATTGATCCCAAATTAAATCAGCATCTTCGAATTCATTTGCAGTAACCATCTTGGCTTTATACCTCGATGAGTATGAAGATTAAGCCATTCAGCTAGCAAAGAGTCTCAATTATCAGGTGTCGCTAATGGTCACTCCCGAGCAAGAACCACAGAAGGTGCTTGCTTATCTGACTGCGGGAATGAGCGAGTTGGCTCTATTGCGACGTTGATCATTCGAGACGCGAGATCGATCGGTGTTATTCAGTAGTATTCAATACGCCGGATCACTAATCTGGAGAAGGGTTTGAGAGCTGCGTGGGAGAGATGTGTGAATGGTACAGATTGTGAAGAAGGAATTGAGTGGAAAGAATGGAACGATTTAGAAAAAAGAAAACTTGGTCAACATAGGATTCAAAACGAAGCAGACGAAGGCAGACTGGCGTATCTTGGTGTATCACAGATTGGATGCTTATGTTTTTAACCTTATCGGATTGAGGACCTTTGCG